GTAAGTTTTGGCACACTGGAAAATATGAATTCCCGCACTATGGAAATTGTGAAATGACGCCTATTTTGGTGGAAATTAAACTCGGGAATTTGATGCCTCAATTTCCACGATTTTTTCCGTGCGTCATTTAATAAATTCCGCTCTTAAGTTGCCAAACAAGGGAATTGTCAATTTCTCCGCTTAAATTCCCGACTTTTAGCTAAATTCCGAGTTATTTTCCCTCATCCAAACGGAGGGTAAAATTAAAATAGGACATATAAATCATTTTGTTAGAAAGCCTAGACCATAATTCAAAGTTGAAATACTTTCTGCTCTGATGCGAATCATCTAAATTACACAATTAGAAAGATAGGGAGAAAATTAGAGTTCTTACCTGCCATAGAGAGGTTGAGAGAAAGCCAGCCACGGAGATCCAGATGAGAGTGAGACAAAGAAATCATAACTGTGAAAACCTAAAAAAACAAAACAAAGAAAAACCAGCGATGAAGCAGCAGCAACAAGGAAGATACCCAGACCCAAAGCCCTAGAAAGGAGAATGAAATAAAAAAGGAGAAGAAGGAGCATGACCTACCTGAGAGGAGAGGAGATGTGATCGCCGACATCGTCTCGTCGTCACAGAAGGAGGAGAAGAGCAATCGTAGAAGGAATAGAACTCGAAGATAAAGAAATGAGAAACCCAAGCCAAAGTTGACTTGAAATGTCTATGAATGAGAGAGCAAGTACTTTTGTATTTTTTTTTTATTTTACCTACAACAACCAATTTAACCGGTAACCAACAATCAACGCTTTGGATTACACCACATGCCCCAATTACTCATCCAAAGGTCTATAATAAGTGGCGCATCAGTGCGCCAGGTGCACTGTAGAATTTTCCCTTGAACTAGGAATGATTTGGCTTCTTTACTTGATTTGCACAAAATCTTCATCTTCTTGTCCTTTTTAGCACACTTTCTCCTATTTCCACAATTCCTTCACAAATCTCACAAAACCAATTAAAACAACCAATTTAATCCAAGGATATCAACAAATATATAAGTAAATGAGGCATAAAATATAGGGTTATCACATACTAAGCACATGCATAGAGGCATGTGAATGTACAATAAGGAATCTCTACTCTTAGTAAGAAGAGAGAATACTCTAAAGATATGATTCGTTGAATCTTTGGCCAAAGTACATGATGAGAATAGAAATAAGAACGTTTGCAATTACATCCAAAAGAATCATATAACGTAAAGATGTCATGTTAGGGATTTGACATGAGTCCCAACAATACAACATAGAGTATTGTAATAGAGAAGGATCAAATTGCATTGTAATCACAAACTAACTAGGTTCTCTAGATGAATTCTATTTAGCTTGAGTAGCCATGAAATACTGTTAGGTGTCACTCATGGTTTGTGGAAGCTCTCTAAGGACTAATTACAATTAGCCTTCGCCAATAGGGAGAATTGTATAGAGGGATACAATTCACATTCGGTTTAAGAAGTAATCATTCTTACCCACGGCCTCGCTATTTAGAACCAATAAGATCACACATTGAAAAGGTATGGATCGAGAATTGAAAAGAGAATAAATGAATTTGCAGCTTGGTCAAAGTCAAAGTCAAAGGTCAAATTGTTGATCCGACACTTGACACAGTCAACACAAGGTTGACTAGGACCAATGTTTATTAGACAAGATAGTGATTTAATTAGTTAAGTCATCAAATCTATTAAACTAATTAGATTAGCTTTAATGAATTAATTAAAGTTCTGGAACTTTGGTTTTGGTCCTATATGACTTAAATATTTATAAGAATAAACCTTATGGACTTAGGCAAAGTGTGACACATTAAGGGATTAATGTGGTGGACCAAAGTAGTCCAAAAAGGCCAAGAAGAGGGAGGGTACGGCACATGGGGGTTTTTGGGGACACGTGTGACAAAATGTCTCTATATATACATACCCATAACATCAAGCCTCCTTAGGGTTTTGAGTTAGGAAATTAGGAAGAGAGGAAGACATCAAGCCTCCTCCCTAGTCTCCCTTGGCTGGCCACCATAGATAAAAAAAGGCTAGCACCCATTTTCTTCTATTGGTTCCTTATTTTCTCATTCTCATTCTACCTTGGTGAAGATACTTTGGGGAGACATAACCTATTTTGTGCCTATTTGGAGAACAAGGTGAAGAATCAACAACCAATGGACAACTCCCTCTACTTGAATACCATGGATTCAAGATATGCTCCAAAGATAACCTCACTTTCTACCTTTTCTTTAATATGTGATATTGGTTTCAATGGTGCAAACTTTTATAGACCAATAAGATTGGGACCTAAGTAGAGACTAGTATGAATCTCTAGCTACTTTCTTGATTCCACTTTATTTGATTTCATATATGGTATGCATAGGCTAGATGATTGGTTCTCTTATAGCTTTATGGGATTTCATAAATCCCAATTTTCCCTTCAGGCATGCGGTTTGCATATCAAGGAATGTCAAGAATTCAAGGTTCCAAGAAGGCGAGGAGCAAGGAGTTCGGCATGGGGAATCTCTCTTCTACACAAGAGGTCCGGGTTGCCCAAGTTTAGCATTGGGTGGAGCACTTCTGACCTAAGATGCATTGAGGCAAGGGTTTCTTGCCATGATGAAGCTTTTGGGAATTACTAGAACGATTTCCAAGAGGTTTGAAGAGGTTCTAGGGATCAGTGATGTTCCCAAAGAGTTTCAGATGCAGAAAAAGGAAGGAGGAAGCATAAATGACCGGTCGTAAGTTTCGAAAATGACTGATAGCCCAAACCCTAGAGCAATGTCGCAAGGTGCTGGAGTGAATTGGAGTTGCTGTGCAAAGCGACACATCTCATAGCACAAGCTACTGGTTGCCGCGTCTTTTTGTCTCGATGTGTTTTGGATTTTTTACCCGGATTTTGGGTATTTGCTAGCCTATTTGGGCTAGGTTAAGACTTCTATTCCTATTAGGGTTGTACTTAAGTCCTATGAACTATAAATCGGTACTTTAGAGCTAGGTTTTCATAACGTGAGAAAACTAAGGCATTAAATTGGGTTTGAGGCAAAGGGTGAGAGAAAAGAGAGTTAGGGTTTGAGAGAGAGTAAATGGGGTTCTTTATTGTAACAGAAGGGGTTCTTTCTTACTAATGAATTTCACGGGGATCACCAAGAGGACATAGGCACAATGCCGAACCTCTATAAATTTCTTGTGTTCTTTGTGTGCTTGTTTACTTTTTGGTTTGTGTGTGGTAGTTGCGTAGTCCATCAATGATAAGGTCTTGGAGTGTTTTTGCACAATGTTAAGCTCATAATTTCATACATATACATGCCCAATTTACTTACTTCTTTTGCTTAGTTCCTATAATTCTAAATTATTTCCCTCCCTTTATTTGTGTGTTTTGTAGGCCAATAGATCAAGAGAGCATAATTCATGCAATTCAAGCATGTTAAGGCCTAATTTGGATGAATGGAAGAAGAGCTTAAAAGACAAACTCATTTTGGCTACAGCCCCCTGCCAGTCCAGTTCCGTAGGTCATATTGCAAGCTTTGTTTCAGCAACCTACACAGCTCGGATGAGGCAGCATTCTTCATGAAAGTTGTTCCAATGGGTGTGTACTATAACATATACAAAATTCAGCCCCATTGGATAAATATGGAGTCTGTTACCTAGCAAACACAGAGCCATGCTCAGGATGGATTTTATCAGCGCGCAAAATGAGTTAGCAATTTGTTTTGGCATTAACTTCCTCCTCAGACCTTGGATTGGCCCAAATGACATATGGCTGGAAAGAAGACATTCGGAACTTCAATATCAAGTGCTTAAAGTCCTAATTTGATTAAGAGAAGCCCAAGTTGTAAGCCCTTGAAGTTGCTGGTTATGCTGACCTCAGCATGTGCTGGTTGGATGCTTGGTCATGGTGAGCTAGGTATGAGCTATCATTTCTGGTTGGAAGCTTGGTCATGGTGACATGAAGATGAGCTAGGGCTGCTGGTGGGATTTATTAGTGAAGTGCATCAACCATTTCAGATTTTATAAAACAAGTGGTGTATGCATTAGCCATACTTAATTCAGATTTTCAGCTTCCTTAGGCCTATATATAGTGAGGTTTCCCAAGCTTGTAAACACACCCCAAGGGGGGGAGCTCTCAAACACTTCTCTAGAGCTCCCCTCCCTTCTCTCCCTCAAATTCTCTTAGTTTTCCTTTCTAGTTCTCAATTCTAGCTTTCCTTTTTCTTCTTAGTTGTAATTTATTTTTCTTTGTAATGTAAATTCTTTTCTTAAAGTTTTCAAGTTGAATTAGTTTCCAAGTTTCAATAATGGTTTTTGTTCTTATTCATTATGCTTATAAGTTAATATGCTAATTTGAATGATTGATC